TTAATTGTCCACCACAGCTGAACAGGAGCCAATCTGAGACTCAGACCCAAGTTTCAAGGCTGAAGTTTCAAGGTTGCGTTACTCTTCTTTGCAAAGTTGCTGTGAAGATTCAAATCTTTAAAAAAAAATGTGGAGATGCTGTTCCCTCTGTGACATTATTTTCACTGTTAGTCATTCCTAGCCTGTCACTGTTTGGAACCTAGCAAGCTTGCCAAGATTTAACTAGCCCAGGGCCCATCCTAATGAATGGCTCTAAGTATGAAGGAGTATCAATGTCATAACCTTTCCTGTCCAGTTTTCACAAACAGAATGAATCTTAAGACTTTAGTGAATTTCTATTTATGGTAATACCTATAGTTTACTAAATGTGTACTATATGATAAAAAGATAATCTATTCATCAAGTCCATTATTCCCCACCTAATACCCTGCAGCATATTTACTATGATGACCCAGCTGTTGTTGCTGCTGTTTGAGTGAAGGGTCTGGAACTTGCTGTGTAGACCAGGCAAGTCTGAAACTCCAAGAGATCTGTCTGCCTCTGCCTCCTGAGTGCCGAGACTCAGGACATGAGCCACCACGCCCAGCCTAATAATTCAGTTCTAAAGGCAGGTGAAGGGGCGGGAGAGATGGCTCAGAGGTTAAGAGCACTGACTGCTCTTCCAGAAGTCCTGAGTTCAATTCCCAGCAACCACATGGTGGCTCCAAACCATCTATAATGAGATCTGGTGCCCTCTTCTGGCATGCAAGCATACATGGAAGGAATGTTATATACATAATAAATAAATAAATCTTTTTTTTTAAAAAAAAGGGGGGGCAAGTGAACTGAGGCTCAACAAAGTTAGTTCTCTCCCCAAGCTTGCACAGTAAGGAGGAGGCCAAGGAAGATGAAATTGAACCACAAATCCATCTGATTCCGTGCAGCCAAGTTCTGACCTCCAACCCTAATGAGAGGTGTGTGGCTTTCTCTGTTAGCTCTTCTAATCCAAAGAATCCACTTCATATTACTAGATTGTCACAGAAGATCCTCTCTGATTTCTTTATCAAAAATGAGGCTTTAAAAAAAATTAAGCTGAGTGTGGTTGTGTACAGTTGCAGTCCCAGTACTTGAGAGGTGCAGGCAGGAGGATCAGGAATTCAAGGTCATCCTCAGCTCCGTAGAGAGTGAATTCTAGCCCAGCCTGGGTTACATGAGCTCCTACCTCAAAACAACGGTGAACAGAAAAGTGATATTTTTGAAGAGCCTTGGTGTGATTTGACTTAATCAAATTAATATTAAAATATAAATAAATAAATAATAGGCTCAATCTTGTTCCCAGAAAGATGCTTCACGCCCTGGTTTTCTTGAAAATGCCAGTCCAATTATTGTGTAATATATGTACATGGAAAAATCAGCCAGGGCTGTGAACTAGCCTCAGTCCTGACAGAAAGCACCTAGAATGGACTCCAAGGCCACGTTCCACAGAGCGAACTGAAGCAGATGAGGGCAGATGAGCAGATGTGTCACCGCTGTGGGCCACCCGGGAAGTGTCCCACTCGCTGCGTCAGAATGAAGCTCCTGTCTAGGGTTGCTGTGAACCTACCCTCCCCAGGAAAAAAAAAAAAAAAGTGCAGCCAAACAAATAAGTAGGTATATAAATAAATAAACAAATAGGACACCCTGCGGGATGGAGATGGCCTGGCCTCTCAGGTCCTGAACCAGCGAAGCAGAGTGGTTTGATTGCCTGCTTGATTGTTTGCAAGATAACAGCAAGACCGTCAGTGACAGGGTAATTTACTGAAGAGTGCAATGTCAGACTCCATCCAAGGGGCTTGCTAGCATAAAGATGCGATTCTCGTGACTGACAGGCCACGGGGAGACTGGAGGGCCAATTTAAAGTTCACGGAGTCCTCGGAAAGTGTTTGGGGGCAGCAGCCAACGATCACACAGCATAAGGAGATCATTACAGGCATGGGGTGTGCCGCTGCCCTCACAACACCCGCACCCCAAATGCTACCACAGAGGCCGAGAATCGCAAGTATGTGGAAGGAGATCATCTCTTCCTCCTCTCTTTTCCTTCCTTTTCTTTGTATTTCTCTTCCGCTATTGCTGATGTGTTTAGGCCTTCTCTTGCCAGACTGGACCCTCAGATTAAAGAGAGAAAAGAAAAAGAAAAAGAAAAAAAAAATCCCAGTATCAACAAAACAGGGGGGAAAGTCCAGAAAGAGAGACAGCCTGCCAGTTGGGGGGAGCAGAATGCATGGTGCTTAATAGGAAAACTGTCTCCGGGTATTATTTGAGCCCGCACATACTTGCCCTCGAGCTGGTAATGTGGGGTGGGGAGTAGTAAATGGGCTGGAGGAGGAGGAAGAAACCCTTCCCAGCTGTAGGAGGGCAAGGCCACCAGAGATGGATGGGGCCCCTAATGGGAAGAGGCCGGCGACCTTAAGAGAAATCTATAGTGCTAACAACAGTGGGTTTCTTCTCACCTGAGAAGCTTCTTAGCCGCTGAATAGAAGTGTGGATCTCAGCGGGTTATTTTTAAAACCTGAAGCAGGCGCTCTGTGTAGATTCCCCCTGCCTAGTGCGGCAGTCCGCGGACGTGATGTTCATGGCAGAATTCAAGGCAATTATCTTCCTTCCCTTTTCTTCCTTGTTCTGCCAATGGCCCTCGAATCCAGACTGAACAATCAGACCGTGGATCTGGGGCTGTGTTCCTGGATCAGCCTGCTGCCAAGATGCTGTCCGTCCCCCCAGGACTGTTTCTGGGGCTTCAGCTTCCCTGGGCTCTGGGAGTCTCGCATTCAGTCAGCACACAGGGTTGAGCTACTCGGAACCTTGGTTTCCAAAGTCTCTAAATTCACACGGCGCCTGCCTACCCACCCGCCTGGCTCTGCATTTCTAGGGAATTTTGTAAACCTAAATGTGTTACAAGGCACACCACGCAGCATTTGCCCACGTGGAAAATGAGAGAGGCTAGTTTCAAGAATTTACAGCCGAGCAAAACACGCCACCTCCTAATTTGTTTGTTTGCTAAAAAAGAAAGTAATACATTAAATTAATTGTACGTTAATTGCTAAATTACAGAGGAACTTCGGTGAAATTACATATTTCAATTTCATTAGTGGGACCGAAGGGAAAGGGGAATGCCAAAAAAAAAAAAAATGTTACATTGTTGTAAACGCAAAGCCCACGGCCAGGACTCTGATTCGGCAGCCCTGGACAAGCATTGGTCACGGCACAGTCCCCGATTGCAGAGCACACTTTTATGATGCTAATTATTTCCTCCCTCCCTGCCAAAAAAAAATATGCCTCTCTATCAAATTCAGGAAGCATCAGCTAAGTTACTCTCAAGCTTTTTCTACCATGTGTTCAATAAAAAGCCTCGTTCTGATAGGGAATTCCGAAGAGCAAACACTGCCCTAAATGTTCTAGTCCGTGGCCATCTCGGACATGTGAGGAATGAAGACGGTCATTTACTCATTCAACAAACATTTGCTGAGGGTCCCCATTCTCTGCTGGACACTGAAGGAGGCATACATGTAGATTTAATAAGGCCCTGTTCATCTCTCACTGAATATATAGCTATAGAGGCAAGCATAAAGATGTAATTAATTCCCCCTACGAGGAAGTTGGTGTCAATAACAATGGTTTCTAAAATGTATTGGGTAATAGAATCCCCTGAGAATCATGATTGACGCACAGACTTTCAGGACCTGCTTCTGGAGGCTGTCAATGGGGAGGCCCGAGGCAGGTCCTTGATTCTGTGGGCATCTGATGCGAGCCATTCTTTCAGGACCCGAGATACACAGGGCAGGAGCTCCTAGCGAAGTCAACCGGTTTGTGCTCCTAAAACAAAACACCATAGCCGGTGTGGCTTACACAGTTCACGTCTGTTTCTTATGGGTGAGACTGGGAAGTTCAAAGCCAAGGCCCTGGGGAACTGAGTGTCAGACGATGGCCTGCTTCCTTCTCAGTGTCCTCACAGGGCAGAAAAGGGAACCTAGAAGAGTCCTCAAGGTACCTGTTACAGAAGAACTCCCCCCTCCATGAGAGCTTTAGGAGCTTAGTTCCACGCTAAAGTCCCTCCTCCGTGCGGTTTAGAATGTCAACATGTAAACGGGAAAAGTGAGCCACTCACTTTCACAGTTTTCAGGAAACTCAGAGGGTTTCCTGAGTGAAAAGACCACCCCAAAACTTGGCTTTAAACAGTGGGTTTCCTGTCTGTCTCTCCCTGGCCCTGTCAGCTCCTTCCAAACAGGCGCCATGATTCTGTGTTTACTATCCCCTCCCCAGCGTGTGACCAGCACTCCAGTGTGTGTAACATGGCAGGTTAGTGAATAGGAGCAGCCAAGGAAAGGGGGGAAAAGCGCAGGAATCTAGAAAGTATCCTACTCAAAAAGACAGAATGGAAGTGACTTCTTATCCTGGTGGCCACACAATACTATTTCCACACTTCCTTGAAGCGGTCACACACACACACACACACACACACACACACACACACACACACACACACACGGCACCTCGTTCTCCATCTTGTTAACAGTTCCCTCCCTGGTTTAGGGGGAGGAGGGCTGGCCTGGTTTTCTCCAAGGGAGGAAGATTGACAGCAGCCCACACCTCCATTAGTGTACACCCAGTCGGCACAGGCCCTTGGGAACAGTCTCTGGGCGATTCTTACGCTGTGTCATTTAAAAGTAAAGTTCAGGGTTTTATTCCAAATCACTCTAACAATATCCGCTCGTGGTAGTAAGAAGAGGGGATTTTAGGAAAATGTAATAAAGCAAAGAAAGAGGCTCACACCAGAGAAGCCACTGTTGATATTTTCAGCTGTTTCCTTCCATCATTTACTCTCTGTGTGGGGGAAGCTGCAATTATCCAAGGCTTGCTGTGCGAAACCTGCCAGTCTCGGGCCCATGGGAAGGTTTGATGGTAACAAACGTGTTAGCGGCTCAGCATCTCCAAGTGGCTTGGTGCCACGCAGTGCTATGACCCTGGCTCTGCTTCTGCCCTTCCAGATGGCCTGGTGGATTGTCTGGACCCTGACTGCTGCCTACAGTCAGCCTGTCAGAACAGCCTCCTCTGTCGGGGGTCCCGGGACCCCTTGGACATCATTCAGCAAGGCCAGACAGACTGGCCTGCAGTGAAGTCCTTCTATGACCGCATCAAGCTCCTGGCAGGCAAGGACAGCACCCACATCATTCCTGGAGACAACCCCTTCAATAGCAGGTAGGTACCCTATTGTCCTTGCAGGCCACTGAGGTCCCCACTCTTTTTTCTATTCGAGAAAAATGACATTCTCTGTCTTTTTCATTGGACCCATTTCCTGGAAGCTGCCCCTGAGGCAACTTATTGCCACAGGTCGCTGAAGACACTGTTCACTCTGGTAGGGACAATAGAGGAGAACTGTGGCTGCCCTGCAGGATTGGAACACCTTCAGCCCAGAACCTCATGGTGATACCTGTTGGTTGTGAGTTTTGAGATGATTTTTTTATGATCCGTTCTTTTATGACATTTTTGTCATTATTTAAATCCCTTTTGGAATGCCTCTGAGAGAGGCTTTTGTTTGAGCGTTGCTGAAATAGTTGATTCGATGGAGTGTTTTCCAAAGCTGTTATTAACTTGATAACATAACCTATCATTCATGGCATCTTAAAGTCGCGGTAATGCCAGTTAGAGGGATATATTGAGTACCTGGGATGATGCTATGCCTGTTGTCGCTGGTCCTCACACAACCCCCATGTAGGATGCCCTCTAGAGCCCAAGGTTCTGAGCCCAACATTTCTCTCCAAGTCCCCTCCTTCTTTCCTGCTCATTTTTGCTCTCAGTTGGTAATCTGGAGTTTATGAACACTTAGAGGTCAGATTTTTGAATTTCTTTTGTGTCAATGTGACCATCTATTCATACCAGAGCAGGTCAGACCTGTACCCTGCAGAAGAGAGCAATTGGAAGGTCTGGTCGCAAGAGACCCTCCCAGTCCATCCCCTTCTGTCTTCTAGACACTTATGAGGGAAAGAAGCAGGCTTAGCGGGGCATGGACACTTGGATGGCACACATGATTGACTCCCTGGCCAAAGCTAGATGTCCAGGCACATGCTACTGTGACCAAGGTTGGCCTAGTCTTTTGGGGGACACTCTACCCCATCTCTCTGCTCTTTTACCTGAAGGAATACAAACTGCAGCTTGGTCCGCCCCCCCCCAGTCCCTAGATTTCAGGAGCATGAGCAAGATAATCATGTCCCTTTCTAGGACCCCACCCTGTCCATCTCTCTTCTACCTCTTTTTGAGTCCGAGTGGTCGTTGTTTTACCTTTCTTTTGCATTCAGTTTATTACAATTTTTGAGTTTGTTTTACAGTTATATTTATGTGGGGGAGTGCCGCAGTACACACGTGGTGGTCAGAGGACAACCTATGGGAGTCAGTTCCTTCTTTCCAACAGAGAATCCTTGGGATCAAACTCAGGCAGCCAGGCTTAGTGAGCACCTTTACCCTCTGAGCTATTTCAGCCAGCCCTTTTTTTTTTATTTTTCATTGGTACATGATAATGGTGCATAGTTATGGGGTACAGTGTGATATTTTTGAAAAGTGCATACATTGCATAATGATCAGAACAGGATAGTTAGAATATCTGTCACCTTAAATATTTATCATTTCTTTGTACTAAAACATGTAAAATTTGTTTAACTCTTTGCAATATGCCTTGTGTTTTGGTTCACCACAGACACACAATCCAACTGTGTGCTAGAACACAGTATATGATACCCTCTCTAACTGCAATGCCTGCTGTCTACCCTTGCCTGCCCAGCCTCTATCCTTACTCAGGTTCAAAAGTACCCATGGAAATAAGTTGTTCACCCCACTTCCTCTTTCAACACAAGTCAGAACCCTAACTTCATAGGTGATTCTATTGGAAGTCACTCACTGTACTTAGGGAGAAGACATCATCTGACTAAGACTAAGTCCCCATCCCTCCTTTGAGAGCCGAGAAGGCTGGGATGGAGAAGGCTGGGTAGCGGCACAGCCAGTTTTCTACAGCACCACAGAAGCTTTCTGCAAAGCTGCAAAGCCCCAGTTATTGGCAACTCTCTTCATTTTTTATTTATCTGTGCTTATTCAAGACAGGGTCATACTCTATGCTCTATAACCCTGACTGGACCAGAAGGAAGGAAGCCCATGACTGCAGCCCAGACTAGCCATGAACTCACAGCAATCCTCCTGTCTCCACTACCAGGTGTTGAGATTACAGGCATTCACCCTGTCATATTGCCTTTGGCAGTTCTTTTGAACATGAGAGTTCTTCACAGGGTCACCTTAGGTCCTAATTTTACTAAAGATAAATAAGGAAAATAAAAGATAATATAGAAGAGATCATAATCCCACTCTTCTTCTGTTTCCCCCTAAACTCCTGAGTTAAACTAGGCATAATCTCATCTTTCAGATTAGCAAAATTAGCATGATATTACTATACAACATGTAGTAATGTTACTATTTATTTTAAGAGAGGTATGCCTCAACAGAAAGAGAGAGAGAGAGAGAGAGAGAGAGAGAGAGAGAGAGAGAGAGAGAGAGAGAGTGTGTGTGTGTCAGGCACAAATCTCTGGCCAAAATGAAAGATGTTTCCCACTTGCAAATCTTAGTTCTGGCACAGTGCCTGTGAGGGCTTGCTTCCTTTCCATTATGAACACAGTTTTCATGAAGAACTGTGACTGACTCGCACTCTGCTATAGCATTTTAGTGAGGTCCATGCAGCTCGCTTGAGCTGTCCGCTGTGCTAATAACCTTAGTCTTTCCCTGCCCTTCCTACTTAGCATTTCAGTGTCTATCCTCAGCCAGTCACTTACTGATACTCTCCCCGTTATACCTCTTTCCTCCCGCTTCTGATACCATCTTAATGTTCCTGCTATGCGTGACCACTTCCGGGAGGCGTCCTGAAGGAAAGCCAAAATATGATAGAGTCAGCAGAGATTCCAAAACTGTGTGGTGGTCTGAAGCAGAGCACAGAGCTGAGTGAAGGAGGGTTACTTCAGAGGAAGCTGTTTGAGAGCCTGAGGAGGCAGCGCTTTCCAATACCTCTGTGTGGCTACATAATTCAGAAGGACAAATTAGTTCTCCAAGACACAGGGTGAAGTTTAGCAAGCACGTGGAATTCAGTGCACTATCGTCTGACAAGTAATAACGGACAGAATCAGGAACAAAGAAAAACTTAATTCAAGACCGCCACAGAGGCGGTCTTCTAGATAATGGCAGACAAAAATAAGTAAAGCGCTTTGGCCCCACCACTGTAATTTATGGAGCAGACCTCACTATCTAGATAATGTGATAATTGTTACACATCAATAATCATAAATAGACATGAACCGATAGCATGTCTTCGCTGGATCTTTTCTGCAAGTCAGCTGTCTGGAAACGATAGGAAATCAGCAACAATGGGGGAATGGGAAAATAGAACAGGAGAAATCAGAGAGCTGAACCCCTGTCGTTCCTTGTAGCGTTCCACAAAGCCTAATGCTGTGGAGTGGATTTAAGAGAAAAAGCAATTGTAGGGGGAAAGAAGAGAGAAAACCCCATGATAGGACACACGCCCAATCTTGTCTTCACATCACGAGTGCTATGGACCTCGTGATCATCAACATACACCCTTGATTTTACGGTAGTGTCTGGTGAAGTCTGGAAGGAGTCTTAGTTGGAGCTAAGATAAGAAAATGGGATTGAACAAAAGGATTATTTTCATAAACTCGTTCTCCACCCTCAGAAGACTCTAGCACTGTGGTTGAAAGCAGCTCAAAACGGGATTCATCTGTTAGGCAGGCAGCAGCAGACAATTAGAAATGCCAGTGGAATGGCCTGAAGACCCCCACCTCATCAAAGGGTGGGAGCTGAACAGTGAGGAGAATTGCTAATAGAAAGAGATGCTTGGGGACAGCATCCCCAGTTTTCAGAATGCCTGGGACAGTAAAGGAAGTGTGTTCCAAAACTCTTTGACAAGATTTTGGCAAAGAGCAGGTCAGCTCGATTGCCTAGTCCAGAAATTGGGAGCATGCCCAACAACCTGGGAGGCTCAAGAGCTGTCTGCTTTCACCAAATCGCCCCCTGTCTCCAAGGCCAGCGGACAGCTGAAAAACTGGTGTTGTCAACTAGGAGCTTAGTACAAGGATGGAGCTTCTGAGTGTCCTGATTCTTCGTGGACACAAGAAAATTTGGGGAGAAGAAATACACATTTCTCCTGCTTTGGGATTTGTTTAAAGCAAAGGTTAAGCATTGGCAACTCAGAAAAATCCAAAATACTCCAAAATCCCTCACTTGTCACATACCAGCATGACACTCCAAGCCCAGAATCCCATCCCTTGAAAATCTGCCCCATGTACAATGTTATTAAAAATACAATATCAAATTGCCTTTAGGGCAGTTTCATAAGATGTATATGAAACTTATATGAATTGTTTAGACTTATGTCTTATCCCCAAGATAGCTCATTATGGATATGCAGATATTCCAGAATAGGAAAACAGAGGTGCTAGTGGTCCTAGCATCTCAGAAAAGAAAGTCAACCTGTGCTGTAGCTACTCTTGGATTTATAGGGTTTCCCAGATAGCTGGAAACTGTGATTCTTGGGAAAGTTCTAATAACTGTTGTCTGTAGAGAGAAGAGTATGACATAACGCCAGAGAAGAGAGAAAGTGAATGGAATTTCAGCCACTCTTCTTTTAAGACAACAGGATTTCGATAGGAGGGAAATTTGTAATTGTATTCAAACCAGATTCCAAAATATTCTCACTCGTTGCATCCCCCAAAATCTGTAAGATTCTCTTTTCCTGGGGTTCTTGTAGATTGTAAGAAATTTTGCTCTCTGAGGGTAGTAAAATACGGTGTCCGTGGAGGGCCTCGTCGCAAACCTTGGTGTGCTCCTCGGCACCCCCTGACATCCCAGCCTCTAGGAGAAGAGTAGCGTGGCCTTGCTCCAAAGCCAAATTAGGAAATGGGCAGCCAGATGGGGAAGCTCTCATCCAGGCATAATACTCTCTGTGCCAGGCCAAAGCTCACACGTGAGTGATGAGGAGCAGCCTGAAGCTCACGCCAGAGCAGAGCCAAATGACATCAAGCAATGGAGCAGGGCCAAGGCTAAAGGAAAGTGCCCAGGAGACTCGGCTGGCCAGCCCGGGGAGTAGGCATCGCTGTCCAGGGATTTCATCCCAGAATGTCCGTGTTCTTGCATCGAGACATCCCCTTTTGCCCACACCTCCCTGTGAGGTATGGCTGTGTGCAGCTAACATTTAACATTGATGTTCTTCTCCCAGTTTAAGTACCAGGCAAGAATAAGGAAGCAGCCACAGCAGGGAAGAGGAATACAGCGAGTCTCTTCTCTCAGTTTTTCTACATGTGTCTAATGCACCCATGTTTTGTTTTGTTGTTTTTTTTCTCTCAGCCTGGTTTCTCTGATCCGAGGCCAAGTAGTGACCACAGATGGGACTCCCTTGGTTGGTGTGAATGTGTCTTTTGTCAAATACCCAAAATACGGCTACACCATCACTCGCCAGGATGGCACGTAAGTAGCCTTGTGGGACCCGTACCTCCCCAGAACCAAGTGTGCATGCAAAAAGAATGATAGTATCATTGCCTTTGAATCAAGTAGTTGCTTCGAATACACTGGAAAAGACACCTGCCCAGACCTCTACGGAGGATCCTCCCAAAGACATGCCATACTGTGGGTGTGACATTCTAACCAGAAAACAAACAGAAAAGTCAGCGCTCCAAGGAGGCTGGCAGCCATCACCCTCCTGTCTCCATGTCAGGTAACTGCCGCTCCTTGTGTACCAGGGGTGGATAGATTTCTAGAAAAAGAAAGGGAAGGTAGCTTTTAGAAGCTAACTCCTATTTTAAATCAAAGGCAGTGCAGGGTGACAGGAATCCACACGACACAGTGTCCTGCGGCGTTCCCCTCTGCTTTCATCTGCGGCTTTAAGAGTTGTGTTATTTTCGCTACAGTTTTGAGGGGGTGGGCTGTAATCAGAGAAGTCTAATTAAGTACATTTAGCAGTCACCCTGCTGTGTGAAGGAGGCGACCTTCCCCTATTATCTTCTGATTGGGAACGCGCACCCGTTCAGTTCCCACCAAGATGAAAGCTCTATGGCTTCCTTAATCCATCGGGCATGAATTCAAAAGTTACAGAAAAAGAAAAGACAGCCACAGAAACGGGGAAACACCCATTCTGGACTGAACACACACACGCACACACACATACATACACACACACACACACACACACACACACACCATGTTCTCTTCCAGAGATAGAAGCTGTCACTGTAAAACTAATGCAAGATTTCCTGTAAAAATCAACTCTGGAAAATCATGACTGCTTCATAGAAAAGACCCGATTCTTCTGTTTCTCTGAGAAAGAGTCTAGCCTTCTTTTCAATATTTTAATATATTCATGAAGCGAGTTTTAAAAAAAAAATGACCATCGCACAGCTGCCCACCCTACACTGTTCCCTACATTGAAGCTCTCAACCCCTCCGTGAAGATGGCCCTGGCCATCCCAATAAACCCACCATGGGGATGCCATCAAGCTGAGCAACACAGATCTCTGCAGCATGACCCTGGCAGTAGCGTGACCCACAGGGAACTGGGGCTCACTGCTGCTGCCTTGAATTGCAAGAGACCATTGTACTGTCCAGGAAATGATCACAATTCAAAAGCCGCTGACGGCCGAATGTGTCCTGTTTCTATGCCACTGAAAACGTGCAAAGCAGTAAGTCAAATCACTCCCAGTGTGAGGCCATCTGCAGTCACTGGATGTCTAGTGTCTCACACATGCACTTGGTGACCAAATTCTTTGGAAGCGCTAGGATAGCAAGTGTGCCCTAGGCAGAGGGCCTTCAGCCCTTTCCACCCTTACAAACTAGCCTTTTGTTTTTGTTTTTATTTTTAATGCTTCTAATATCTAGCCCAGGCTGGCCTCACATTTGTGATGATTAGGTTAGGGTTAGGATTAATCGTATGTATGTACCATTGTACCTGGCTTGAACCCAGCCTTCTTCCTTGGTTTTTGCTTCTTTATTTGAGGAAGTTCTATTTGTTTGCTTGCTTGTTTTAGATGCGGACTTCTGTGGTCCGGGAGATCAACACCAGCCTTCGCACATGCTCGGCAAAGCATTCTGCCACTCACTAAACTACATATCTCTAGCCCCTTCAGTTGCTTTTATTTTTGTGTGTGTTTTTGTTGTTGAGGCAGCGTCTTGATGAATGGCCGAAACTGGCCTTGAACTTGCCATAGTCCTCCTACCTCTGCCTTCCTGGGGCTAGAATTACAAGTGTGAGCCAGAATTCTTGAAGTGTTGACATAGCTGAGCCGGTTCATTAAGAATTCTGTTCGACAACATACAAAATCATTCCTGGGACTCTTGGTCCTTTCTGTCCCTTTCTTCTCCTCCCCCACCCCTCTCAGGTACTTCCTGACTAATTAAAGCTCAAATCTACCTCCCACATCATCTCTCCAGCCTCCTATACCCCAGCTCTTCAGCTTTCTTAGGCTGCAAGACCACGACAGTATCAAGGTGCATTTGTGATACCCCTGGAAATTGCACAGCCTTAGAGAATGTGGTATGGACCACAGACTTTCATGTTGGCTCTTGCTTTGTTTTGTTTTTCAAGAAAGGGATCTTCTGTGTAATAGCTCAAGCTGTTCTGGAACTCATTCTGTAGACCAGGCTGGCCTCGAACTCACAGAGATCCACCTGCCTCTGCCTCCCGAGTGCTGGGACTAAAGGCATGCGCCACCACCACCCGGCTTCATGTTCATTCTTTTATACCAACAGGAACAGCTAGGGACAGTATTGTTTTCAGCTGGTTGATGTTGGTGGTGCTTTAGACAGGAACTCACTGTGTAGCCCAGGCTTGCCCATAACTAGGGATACTCCTTCCCCAGCTTGCCAACTACCAAGATGGCAGGTGTGCTTCAAAACTTCCTGGCTTCCTTCTCTATCAGGTGCAAAAATTGTCCCCAATGTCAATAAGAGTCAGGAAACACATACCCAAATTAGCTGCAGAGTGAACTGTTGTTCTCTCCACGTTCCAATATGCACCGAAATATTCCTGCATATCCTATTCGTTCATTGTATATCTACTAAAGATCACCAGACATGGAACCAAAGTAGGGTGAAACAGATGGTGTGGATGTCTACAGTCAAGATGCCCTCCCTGGTCAGCACACCCTCACTGGGATGTTAGCATGACACAAGCAGCAGAGATTCCGGAACAAAGACAGGAACACTGCGGCCCACACACACTTGAGAGTCCAGTGGAGTGCGTCTTAAAGTTGGGGTGCAGCTCTTCACAAGCTACTTCGACTTTGCCTTGCAGGCAGCTCCCCCCCCCCTCATCTAGCTCTTGAGAAACAAGCAGGAATGTGACTGAAGAAGCACTGCCCACATTCCCAAGAGCATAGCAGAATTTGGTTGGCAACATGTGCTCGTGGCCCTGCCCCTGCCCTCTGACTGTGACCACACTGCTGCTATGCATGTCCCTCAGCCTTAGCACTGGATGCTTGATGCCAGGATCAGGTAGCATTTCCTGCAAAGTGCCAAATAGTGAGTCACTTAGGTTCTGCTGCCTGCCTGGCTCCTGTGGCCATGGCTCAGTTCTGTCCTTGTGGCAGGAACATAGACAGCCATGGAGGACACATAAGCAAATGTGTGCCAATCACACTGAATTACCAGCCCCTAAAACAGGTTGTAGGCTGGCTCTAGCTTACCCCCTACCCTGATCTCATCAGCCCATTTCATTCTTTGTCACCCTGTCCTGGTCAGTCCTATCATTCCCACGTAAAAGGTGAATGGTAGGTGAATCTGATTGTCTCAAAGCGGGCTGGTAGGCTTGCCTAGAGTCTCATAACTAGTAAGTTGCAGCCAGACCCATCTACCTACCAAGCGCTGTCCCTCCCACAGCTCTTAAGCAAGGAGGCTGAAGGTGAGACTTAATCACCCTATTGACCCGTCTCCAGGTTTGACCTGATTGCCAACGGGGGTGCCGCGTTGACTCTGCACTTTGAACGGGCACCTTTCATGAGCCAGGAGCGCACAGTGTGGCTGCCTTGGAATAGCTTTTACGCCATGGACACCCTGGTAATGAAGACTGAGGAGAACTCCATCCCCAGCTGTGACCTCAGTGGCTTTGTCCGGCCTGATCCGATCATCATCTCTTCCCCTCTGTCCACCTTCTTCAGTGCTTCCCCTGCAGCAAACCCCATTGTGCCCGAGACTCAGGTAAGGGCCCGTGCCATACTTCCCAAGCCAAGCCCGATTATCCAGCTTTCTCCCACCATCTCTGTCTCCCCAAGTGTACCAGAAACTAATATTTAAAGGGAGAAACAACAAAAAAAAAAGAATAGGAGAAACAAAATGTAGAATTTACAGCCATTGTAGGTAACAGTTTGAATCCCTCCCGGACATTCCGAATGTTTGCAGATAGTCGCTCAAGACTTTGGCAGCCATGAGAGCTTTTAATAAGATAAAAACAACATGCATATGTGCAACCCACCTACAAATTACTTTTTATTCCGGTTAGTCACAGAGATACATGATAAGAGCCGCCTTAATGATCTACATCGGCATTACGACAGAGGGCATATTACATTACCGCCTCCCTGTTGCTTTATTCCGATTGTCAGTGAAAGTTGCAGGTTCATATAATTACAGCCTCTCGTGGCCTCCTTGCATGCAGCTAGCAATAAAGCCTGCTGTTCTTATTTACATCTTTGCCAACAGTGTGGGTTTTTTTTTTATATGAGAAACGCAACAGTGACCAAGAATAATTATTAATCCAAAAATTGTAACCTCGGTCTCCATCCCCATGGCGTAGGATGAAGTTTGGGTTGATTTTCTTGTCTTCGGTCTCAGCTCTGAGAAGTGGTCCATGCAGCCACAAAAGGTGTGATGCCTCAGCGCGGGAGGCAGCTCACAGTCACGCTGGCTTGGAAACAGCTCACCCGCAAGGGTGTGTTGGACGCAGTAGACCAACCACATGTTTCCCCTCCAGGTTCTTCAAGAAGAACTCGAGCTCCCAGGTTCCAATGTGAAGCTCCGTTATCTCAGCTCCCGAACCGCCGGGTACAAGTCGCTGTTGAAGATCACCATGACCCAGTCCACAGTGCCCTTGAACCTCATCAGGGTGCACCTGATGGTGGCTGTTGAGGGACATCTCTTCCAGAAGTCATTCCAGGCTTCTCCCAACCTGGCCTACACATTCATCTGGGACAAGACTGATGCCTATGGCCAAAGGGTATATGGGCTCTCTGATGCTGTTGGTATGTATTGGTCTCAACCACTTTTCCTTCTTGGTTTTTGTTGTCTTTCTATATATTCCGAGCTCTCTTCTAGTGTAACAGCGTAAATGAATGCAAACAGATTGTAAAAATATATACAGCTTTAATGGGGAAATAGACTTACAGACCCACAGGTTCCCGCAAAGAACAGGAAAACAGAAGGAGTGGAGGGCTCATGCTTGCCAGATTTATATGTAAACATTAGCCCGAGGTGAACACACCCCCTAATGGGCTGGGCTTATCCCTACATTCTAGTAAAAAAAGACAAAGACACAGCGGTCAGTAAGACAGACAAGATCTCTCTTTCAGGGAACTTACATTCCAGTGGAGGACGAAGATAAGAGAGATTGACTGCAGAAGGAAACATGAAGCCATGTTAAGTGCTAGTAATAAAGAAAATAAAAATAAACGGCACCTACTGTGTGAAGGGGCAGCCATGGGTAAACAGTCAGGGAAGCTCCTCATTAAAGTAGTGTTTAGTTGAAGACTTGAATGGCCAACAGGAGCCATGTGAGAATCAGAAAAAGGGTACTCCAGACAGAGAGAATGGTTGGGAGAACCAATGACCAGAATGCGGTGGTCAAAGCAGATGAATGTCCAGAGGTAGGCAGGGACTGGTTCGTGATCCAGAAAGCACACTTACAAATGGGTACTGAACCTATCTTAAAAATAAGGAATTGGGGCTTCGGGAGATCTGGGGGCCATGCTGTGTGTTTCCAGGCTTTGCCCTTGAGCTGTTTACCCTCAGGAACGGAGGACCTCAGAGAACGGTCCTGGTCCTTCGGTTATGAGAGCCAGAGCAGTAGGTTGGCATCTGCTAGCTTCTTCCTATTTGTAGAAAACTGGCTGGTGATGTGGATCTAGCATCTTGTATCCTATCCTCTCTATCCTCCTACTTGTGATTCTCAAGGACTGTGAACAACATGACCAAAGAAAGAGGCCAGAAAGTTCAGAAATGTTCACGGGGAGTGGCAGTATTTATCAGGTAGTTATTCTGTGCAGAGAGCCTAGTGACAAATCCTTCAGTAACCACTTGATGGCCCAAGCAGACCTCCTCACAAACATCATGGTACAGCTCAGGGATAGGACAGGTAAAGTTCCCAATAGCAATGCAATGCATCCAGCAGGTTCCAAGTACTCAGGAGATGCTCCAGTAGCCAGGCGGCTTCTTGGATTCATTATATCAGTAACTCAAGCAGCAGAGTCACTGGAGCGCCTAGAGCATGTCATCTCAAACACTGGCTACTAAAGAGTCTCCTAGCTGGGTTAGCCCATCTCGACTCAATAGCCAATACCACAAAGTAGATATGACACTCCACTCTCTACTTCTTCATCTAGAAGAAGTACTCTCTAGCTTCTGTCATCAGCTCATGCTGAATCCTGTTTCTCCAAACTTAAATCCATTCCCCTCCATCATATATTCTTCTAAAGTTCCAGAAATCGCATCATTTCATCTGGAATATATCAACATATGTGTCTAAAAAACACTTAGAAACCACAGTTTCTTAGTATCACCAAACAACCCACTGCTGTTGGGTCTATCCATTGGTGGTCAGCTGTGGTCGTACACAACTGTAATCCCAGCACTCAGGTATCTGAGATAGGATCACTAGTCTGAGGCTAGACTGAGCAACATTGGGCAAGTCCCTGTCTCAGAAGAAAGACAGAGAAAAAAGGGAGGTAGGAAAGAAAGAAAAAGAAAGAAATTTCAATTGTCTCCTTAATATTGTAAAATATTAATACTTCAGTTGCTTGAAACAATATCCTAATAATGGTTGTTTTCTCTTAAATTTTGTAAAAAGAAATTTTTAATTGGGGCCAGCAAGATAGGTCAGCAGTAAGGACCTGAGTTTAAGCCCTGAAACCCACAGGGTGGAAGGAAAGAACCAGCTCCTAATACTTGCCTTCTTCCCTCTACACGAGCATTGTAGCACAAAACATACACACACATACCCATTTACAGACATAAGCTAATAGATTTTTAAAATGCAAAAATAATTTTCATCTCACTTTCTATGTCTCTCTTTAAATTAAGTTGACTTGCTATTGCTTCTCTCTTTCATCTTATAATTTAATCATTGAAGAAATTGGGTTGTTTGCCCATAAAATCTCTAGTCAGATCTTCTGGATGGTGTGTATTGGTGGTTGTGTAACCCCCTGCAGACAGGTAGTTGGACCTTGAGTCTTCCTCTGGCCCAGGTTTGGTTGGGCAGGACAACCTAAGGGGCATTATGCCGTTCTACCAGGAAAAACCCAGTGAGGCTGGTTGTCTCTTAAGATTTAGCAGTGTGGTCTTTATATATTTAAGGTCACCAAGGATTACAGAATGATATTTTAAATCTGTCACTGAGTCTTCAACTCTGAGCTGGAATACTTTCATACAGAGGTGGCTTCTCATTAACAACTTGGCTATTTGGGCTCTGGTTCACACAGGAAAGAAAGGACAAATACGTGCTTCTTTCCCTTATTTACTGGTTTCCAGCATAATGAGTTGGCTTATCCTCCAAGGGTAGCAAATGAATGTTTTCTTAAATACCACTATGAACTCGCACACTGAAATATATCTCGTATATTTCAACGCATTGAAGTCATTACGCTTGTTAATGGTCAGAGAGTCCAGTGTGTGGTCATTAGGAGTCTCTTCAAGCTGACTCCCAAATCCTTTGACATGACCCTAATAGATGACGATTCCTTCTTCATTTGCTATCTGCCATGGTCTAGATGTGTTCATTTCTTGTTCCCTGATTGTCAACAAACCCTGACACTTTGCCGGGAGAAGCAGTGTATCAAGACCACAAGGTGGACACGGGCACTGTGTCACTACAGAGTTAGTCAAGTCATGATTGGCAGTTTGAAAGGACAAGCTTTGAAGTGGTGGGGATGCCTGGGTAGACTCTGTTTGTTGCTGTTCTGAGGCAAAAACGTATCCTTCATTCATATCGACACTTGTGTATCTCAGGATTTTTCAAAAGCTGCAGAAAATCCCCATTGGTGACACACGTAGTTAAGAGTTTAATGTTCTAGGAACAGCTATATAACAATGCCTCTGATTTTTAGAGCAGCCTTCCAATTAAAGACATACAGCACCTCAGCATCTGGTCTCAGCTCTCCCGCCGAACCACTCTAAGAAGCCAAGACTTCGCTCACTGCATGTACAAATGGGGAATGCATAAGGCACAAGGCTGCAATCACGGGGCCATGCACCTCTCTTTTCCTTTCCCTCTTCTCTGTGCATGATTTTTACAAACAAGGTTTCAGGGTCTGAAAATCATTGGCACCCTCTGTGACTACCAGGCTGCCCTCTATGGGTGCCAGGCTTTCCTGGTATTTTCTAAACCCTGAGTGCAGTCACCCCTTGGTATCCAAAGAGAATTGTTTCCACAATCCCCATGATTACCAACCTCTCTGTGAATGCTCAGGTCCCTTGCATGGGATGGCACAGCATTTTGTCTTTAACCTGCACATATCTTCCCATAGTCTTTTAATCACCTTTGGATAAGTTTTATAATGTGTATTGTTTAGGGGGTGATAACACAGAAAAACGCTTGTCTGTGTTCAGTTCAGATGCAGTATATTTTTCCACATCGTTTCAGTCTATACAACATCGGTTGAATTTGTAGGTACAAAAGCTACAGACACTGAAGGTCGGCAGGCCAACCGTGTCAAGAACCCTTTTCTTACACAAGCTGCTGCCCCCAGACCTCCTTATCAAGGAACTTCATTGCTTTCTAAGGCCTTCTCCTAAAGAGTAACATAACAAACGCATCCCAGGAACAGCAGGCTGACAGAAACTCCTCCCATCCTCCCATCAACGTCTAAAGAGACTTGTTCAGGGCTAGGTTTTGAAATGATGCTTCTCCCACTTCCATGCCTCTGAGGTCATTTTGAAGATCAACATGTTCATCAGGAAAGTCTTCCTGTGATTTCTGCATGAAGTTTCAAAGCTGAATTCAACTCAAAGTCCAGATTTCATGGAATGGAGTCTCAGGGCCAAAGCTGCCAGCCACCTCTTGAAGTTTGGGGAACAAATATCGCTGCTAATGTGTGGCTCTCATTCTTGCTAAGGAGCTCTGGAGCACTCAGTCACCTCCTCTCTCCCACTTTGTCCCCAACCCTTTGTCTTACAGTGTCTGTTGGGTTCGAATATGAGACCTGCCCCAGCCTCATCCTATGGGAGAAAAGAACAGCCCTGCTTCAGGGATTTGAGCTGGACCCTTCCAACCTGGGCGGCTGGTCCCTGGACAAGCACCACATCCTCAATGTGAAAAGTGGTAAGTTGGGAACTAGGGACAGTGCTTAGCGGGCAATGCTTGCCTTCCGTTCCATCCCTGGCACAATAAAACATTTATGAATAAATTGATTCATTGGTTTAGTCTCTCTAGTGTTGACATTTAAGTGGTAGCCCTTTGCTTGGATATTTATTTAAAATCAAATGCCCCCCCCATTCATAGATCTTTCTAATTTTTCCCCCTTTAAAAGTCAGTCTCAATACATCAGCCTTATTGTACCTCATCATTCCTTTCCTGTTATCCCTCCAGATAGTATCATACCCACATTATAGCTTCGGGAGTGGACCTCCCATTGTGGCTCTCTACATCAGGAGGAAATGGGAAAGCACCCCCAAAAGGAGAGGTTCCCCATTTTTTTCTTGCCTCCCTATCACTTCCCATTACTTAGTAGGTCAATCCACATACTCCCCCCAACAGGGTGTCGTAACCCCCTCCACTCTGCCTCCCTCCCCCAGGAATACTACACAAAGGCACAGGGGAAAACCAGTTCCTGACCCAGCAGCCTGCCATCATCACAAGCATCATGGGCAACGGTCGCCGCAGGAGCATCTCCTGTCCCAGCTGCAATGGCCTTGCAGAAGGCAACAAATTGTTGGCCCCTGTGGCCCTGGCTGTGGGGATCGAAGGGAGCCTCTTCGTTGGCGACTTCAATTATATCCGGCGTATCTTCCCTTCTCGAAATGTGACCAGTATCCTGGAGTTACGGTAAATGGCCACACAAGAAAACTTCTGCTCTCTAGATCCCCCTTGTGCACAGGTTTCTCTGGGTGGGTGGAAGGTGGTTGAATTTGGGGTTCTCAGAGTGGGAAACAGTTTGATTATCTATAAAATGCCAGTCGCACATTTGATACGATTGTCAGCAATTCAACTACAAACAAGAGAAACAAAAAAGTCCCCAGCCCAGAAAGGAGCCAAGTGTCTTTCATTTTTTTTAGAAAGCTCAGTAGCTGCCTCCGGCACACATCAAAGTGTAAGGACCACTGATGCTCAGCTCCTAATTCACAAGGTTTTGCTGAGCATCTCTGAGTATTGCCCCCAGTAAGCCCTCCGGATCTTTCTGTACTTTTTGGGATGCAGTGTGGCACAGCAGCATCTGGCCTAACGAGATCATTTCTCGCCATCCTGGAAGATTCCTCCTGGCCATTGCTTGCTACTAAGTCTGAAGACTAGATTCCAAACCCTCAACCAGAGGAAGATATATACAGAGAAGGAGAAAAATGGAAATGAGGAAGTGAGGGGGAGGGAAATAGCTAATACATATCTGATAAATGTATATTATGCCCTCAGGTAGTGTTTGTGAGCCAATAGGGAACTTCCATTATGTCACGTGGAAAATGAAAAAATAATGAATGAAAGTCATGAATGCTTTAAGGAAAATCTCACAGGGCAAAACATAGGGAGCTTGGTGAATGGAGGGGAGGGCTACAAAACACAACATAGTCAGAAAAACCCCTCCTACTGATAGTGTTTGAGCTGGGCCCTGAATGATGACATCAGCCATAGGACATCTGGGGGAAAGCCTTCCAGGCACGGGGAAGTTACACAAAAGATCTATTTTCAGCCAGTAACCTGGCTAATTGGAGAAACCCATAGGAGTCCAACGGGACTGGGGGCTGGTGAGCCCAAAAGAGCATCTTCGCAAGAACTAGAGGAGAAAGGAAGGGATATGTGCTTTGGATTGACAAGTGTCTGTTTGCATGTGGACGAGCAAAAACTGCATTTCGTTTGCGATGGGTAGCCACCAGAGGCTGAAGTAGAGGTGGATGTAGTTGATGTATGATCTGAGTGGCCTTTTGAAAAGATGACTCTGGCTAGCCTGTGGGGAAAGGACTGTAGGAATGCGGGGGTGGAGGCAAGAAAATTCATAGAGGCTGTGTCAGTGGTCCAGGATTTGGGTCATGGTGATTTGGTAGCACTGACAGGATGTGGAGATGTATCTTCCAGTTAAACCTGATGGGTGATGTGAAAGCCATGAAGAAAAGGAGAGAGGAGGAAAGAGAGGAAGAGGGAGAGGAAAAGAAGTGACATGCAGGGAGAGAAAGAGAGCCCTAGGATTTGGGCCTGAGCCACCAAGTGACTGGTGGTACTGTGGAAGCACCCTCAGATACCATGTCAAAGATGCACAGGCCACTGGCCATGCTTGCACTGAATGTCTATGTCCATTCAACCCGCATCAGTGTGAGCCAAAGACCTGACAGCAAACCTGAGCAGGAGGGACTTTGGCTCCAGGTTTCAGAGCACTCTGTCTACGTTGGCAGAAAGGGTATGGCAGAGAAGTTCACTCCATGGCATCCAAGAAGCCAAGCAGAATCAGGACAGGAGAGGTCAGGACAAGATATCCTTTAAGCACATGCTCCAGGAACCTGCATCCTTCAACCAGACCACATCTTCTGCAATGCCACCACCTCCCTATAGTCTAGTCTTTTTTTTTTTTAATCCATCAATGGATTAAGCATTAGGTCAGAGTCCTCATGACCTAATCATCTCTGGAAACACCTTCAGGACACACTGAGAGGCATGCTTCACTAAGCTCTCAGGATCTTCTCAATCCAATCAAGTTGGCAATCAGTGTCCTCACGGTCCCTGCTGGGAAAGACGTCAGTGACCTGGCCACCAGCTGCTATCATTAGATCTTCTTAGGAGTCAGAACTCTGCCAGGCACCGTAAGGGGTAAAACGTATAAGTGGCAGGGTGGGGGGAGGCACAGCGGTTCCACCCTGAGATAGCCACAGCCCCCTCTTCCACGGGATGTTTACTGAGTGTTAGCATTAGGCACACAATACATACCTCGGTGGGGACAGGAGAGATGGAATGTGGGCTCAAGAAATAACCTGCTGAGGGTAGAGGGGGGCACCTGGAGAAGAAAATGCACTTCCAACTGACCTGAAGAGCCAAAGAAACCATTACAGAGACAGAGTGAAAGGCCATGAAGTCCAAGCAGAGGAGAAATATGTAGTACAGGAGTGGAGAGAGAGCAAGCAAGAGGCACAATGACACTCCCCACTTTCTCCAGCTCTTCCCCCAGGGAAGTCTCCTTCCTGAGATCGGTTCGTTGTTATTGTTGTTGTTATTGTTGTTGTTGTTTGTCTTAGTTAGACCCTCTGTGGCAGCGATGAGACACCATGACCCAAAAGCAAGCTGGGGAGAAAAGGGTTTATTTGGCTTACACCTCCACAGCACTAAAAAAAAGTCAGGACAGGAACTCAAACAGGGTAGGATCCTGGAGGCAGGAGCTGACGCAGAAGCAATGGAGCGGGGCCGCTTACTGACTTGCTCAGCCTGCTTTCTTATAGAATCAAGGACCACCAGCCTAGGATGGCACCATCCAGAAAGGGCCCTTCACCACCAATCTTCCATGTATGGACTTCCTCCTCTGTTAGGGCTCTTCCTGCTCAAAGCCAAATCAGTGCTGACCTGGTTGGTACATTGCCACCTCCAGCTCTTAATTCATGCTGTTTGCTCAACTCAACATATCCATTTGACCTAGGCAACTACTTCCTGTCTGTTAGTTCTGTTCTGAAGGTTCCTCCTTCTTCCCAGAAATTCTCCCCCTCCTCTGAGAATGGAACATTCTGGGTTTCCATTGGCACTAACACTACTTCCTACCTTGCTGGGTTATTTCTGTATGGCTCTTCAGGCGTGGGTGTGTGCACTTCTATAGAGTAGACACCTTGGTCCTCTCCACCCTGTCGAGTCTAGAGCAGTATCTAGCCAGTACTAGGTACTCAAGATGGGTACATGAACTCAACAGCCAGTCCCTCCCCTCTTGTCAGACCCGGCCTTTGATTCCATATCTCTCAAATTGTAGAGACCACAAGACCAGTGGTAAAACTAACCGCCCAATCAAAGAAAAGCATACCATGTCTATGTGGTAACAACTGAGGGCAGCTTGAGGGCTATCATTCCCAATTTCCCTCGATAGCTGTGTAATTTTTTTCCCATTTTTTTTTTTTTTGCTTTTTTTTTTTAACTGTCTTCAAACTTGTTCTTGCTTTCATCAGGCAGGAACCCAGAGCCGATTAGAAGTTAAGCTTTTACAAGAATGCTGCCTTGATTCTTCCTTTCTTCCCACTAAGTGCCTGAAAACAAAGGGCTGTCAATCCCTCTCTTCAAAACAGTCGCCCGCAGAGGGGGGAGGGGGTGGGGAAGACTGTCTTGCCTGTGTCTTTTCTCCATTGTGGCTTGGCAGCTGAGCGATTCCATTTTGGAGTCCGCACCCAGCCCTACCTTGCTCACCCACCCCAGCGCCCCGCCTCCCAATCAAGTCCCTATTGAAGTCTTACCACAACCGTCCCTAAGCTTGCCTCTATTTTTACCTATATGAAACACTCCAGCCGGAGATCCCCATAGTCTGGGAACGTCTGATGCTGGAAAGAGTGCAATGGCCATCAGCTGTGTGCTCTGATCCAACACCGTCACAACACCCACTTCCTGAAGAGCCCAGCATCCCACCTGTAGGAGATGTTTTCCCATCCTGTAATTATCACCCTCTCCACCTTGTCCATGGAAAACCTGACCGCTCTGGCACAGATAAATTCATCCGTCACTAACATCTTAGGGTGAATTTCTCTCAAAGGTAAATCCTCCACTCTCCAATTTGAAAGCATCTTAAGAAGTAGACCCCACAGCATAACTGTAGTGATAAGGCGAGCAGGCCTGCTGCTTTCCGTCCCGCCTGGCTTCTACATGGCTAGCTTTACACCCAAAATAACAACACACAAACTGTATTCATTTAAACACTGCCTGGCCCATTATTTCAGCCTCTTATTGGCTAATTCTAACATCTTGATTAACCCATTTCTATTAATGTGTGTAGCACCACGAAGTGGTGGCTTACCAGGAAAGATTCTAACAGAGAATCATGGTGACTGCCTAACTTCCCTTCTTCCCAGCATTCTGTTCTGTTTAACTCTGCCTACCTAATTTTCTGTCCTATCAAAGGGCCAAGGCAGTTTATTAACCAATGAAAGTAACACATAGACAGATGACCCTCCACCAACAGCATGACAGTCAGGGCCGGGGCAGTATCTCTCTAATGTCTCTTGGTGTGGCCCCTTTTGATAGACATAAGGCTGTAATACCTCTTCTAATGTTTGGAATTCTTTTCCATTTTCCAAACAAAAGTAATGCTGTTGCATGTGGTTTGGTTTTTTTGGTGGGGGGGGAGTATCTGAAAAGATCACCCTCCAGACAGAAATTGTTTCTATGTTTTCCATGGAGAGGGATGGAGGGGACAGGCATGGCAGACTGCCCTAGAACAGATATTCAGGGTAGGGAATTGTCCAGCTTCTATGTGTTAGTACTGGAGGAGGCAGAGATGTGGACAAAGTAGGAACCTGGGAAAGAGGGCAAAAGCACCAGACACTGGAAGTCCAAAGAATCCCAAAAGACAAGCTTGACCTGAGAGTTAAAGCAGCCATCCCACTGAGTGTGAGGGCGGACAGTGTGACTGCATCTGGACCCACTGAGAGTGAGAACACACAGTGTGACTACAGCCAACTGGACCCACTGAGCGTGAGGACGCACAGGGTGCCAGGTTCCCTCCTTCAGCTTTGAAGATGTTAAGAAAGTAAAGCAAACAAAGCCCTTAACCCAGAATAGTAATAACTACCATGTCTCCAAACAATTTTGGCTCCCCCTTGGCTCTGTTTTCAAAGCCCTTTGACCAAGGACAGATCTAAACTAAAAGCTAATACAATTAGGAGGTCCCTCTTAAAAAGAAGAAAAGCTAATTATAAATCAAAAATGAAAACTGAGTGCCAGTGAGGTGTGTAGGGAGATAGAAGTGCTCGCTGCCCAAGACCAACAGCCTGAGTTTATTCCCCAGAAGCCACAGTGGAAAGATAAAATCAACTCCAAACGGTGTCCTTTGACCCCTACACAAACATTCTGCAGTGTGTGCATGCCTGTACTCATGCACAGACACACAGCACACACATACACAGACAATAATCATGAAAATAATTAATAATAATAAATTTAATTAATTAAGAGAAAGAAAACCACCCCCAGTATTACCTGGACCATCTTAATCTCATCTAGACTTCAGATCTAGTTAGTACTGGGATGAGAGGAAATGAAAGATGAAACAATATTATTTAAGATGAGAAAAAGAAAAAGAAAGGGCAAGTCTTTTAAAAGCCTCTCACGGGCGTCACCAAGCACAAATGACTTGACACTTTATACAAGTTGACTCCTACTCCGCCTTTTCCCCATACTTTTCCCCATACCCCTTTGATTATCTTCTGATTATCTTCTGATTTTTTGATTTGATTATCTTCTGATTGTTGTTGTTTTCATTTGTTTTGTCTTGGGATTTTTGTTGTTGTTTGGGGCTTTCAAAACAGGGTCTCATAGCCCAGGCTGACCTTGAACTTGCTGCTATTTAGCCCAGGATGGCCAGGAACTCCTGCTCCTTCTGTCTCTACTTCCCAAGTACCACCGCACTTGGCTCTCTGATTATTTTTTTAATGTGACAGTTATTTTCCGAATTTTTGTTATCTATAAAATGAACAGACATGTTAACTCTTTCCTCCCATATAACCAATCAGAATTGGTTATAGAATATGGATAAAGTTAAAAAAAAAACTTGTTGCCATATTCACAATTAGTTGTTAATAACACAAAGTTGTGAGAGTTATAAAACTTGGAGAAACCTCTATCAGGTTTCCTCTGTAATATTTCTGGGCATTTCACATTTTCTTGTAATGTTCTTTGAACTGATGTTCATTAATCATTGTGTCACCAACGTACACATAACCATGAAGGATGAATTCTGCAGTGGCTCTCACATGCCCTACAAAGATGCTACATGAATCAACACGGTAGAGCAGAAGCATTCCCAAGAGCCATTCTTACGACAGGATGGCTGGCAATAATTTAGCCAGATGCTGAAAGAGCTGTAACCACCTAACAGCATCCCGCTAGAACTCAACTAAATGGATCCCAAATTAATGTCTCTGTACTTAGAACAGAAACAAAAAAGCCATGCCCAACCCAACTCCACTCTACTTGAACGGGAAAAGGGTGGGAGAACGAGAAGGTCCACAGCCTTCCCAACTGTCTGCAGGTTCAGACTTCTGAACAGAGCATAGGGCTACGCAGCTTGTCCATGGCCAAGAGAAGCAACCTCCTTCCAAATTCCCTGCACTGGAAGACTTGCTTCCCCAGCCCTTCCTCTCTCTGAAGTATCAGCAATGTGTAAGTCTCATCCTGTCCTCAAAAGATGTGGAGAAGATCAACACACACACATAAATCACAAGACAGGGTGATGGCAGCTCTGGGAGGTAGGCTGGGGAGCCCAGGGGAGCCCCTGCAGTCTTTGCAGAGAACACAGGCCGCCGAGACTCTGGAGTGTGAAATGCTAATACATCTCAGTTTCTTAAATTGGAGACATTTCTTTTCCCTCAAAGGGTGTGCCTGAAGGGTCTGTGTGTCTGTGTCGTTGAAGGTGTGCAAACTCTAAGCCTGTCCCCCTCAGGCATCTGTACTCTTTGGCAGGGACTAACTGAAGGATGATGTTATTTTGACTAGTTTCCTGCCCTAGACTGGAAAAACTGTGACCTCATCCTTTATCCAAAGCTCATATCCATAGGATCTGCCAAACTCCATACCTTCCTAGGCCTTGGTCCCCTCCCCTCCTGCCCTCTCCCACAACACTGATAGAGTAATCACCTGAAAGCAGATGTTCTTAGAAAAGAAGTAGGTCAGGACTGCAGACCCAAATCCCATCCAGTCTTCTCGCAAAATCTTGAGTTTAAAAAAAAAATGGGATTGATATTGCAATAATTAAGAGGCAAATGTGTCTACCACTGGTGGCAGATAGCATTTCTCTTTCATTAAGCAATATAAAATAGACGCGAGAATTCCCGGCTGCCGCCCTGACACACCAGGCTTTACAGACTGAATCTTAAATTGCACTATGTCAGTCAGAGCTCAGGAGTTATCAGCATCATTTAATTAACTTTTTTTTTTTTTTGGAAAAACTAACATGCTAGACTAAAATATAAAAATGTAATCTCTGTGTAAACCTTCCTCTAATGACGGCCCCCAGCAGAGGCCTGAGCTGCACCTCAGAATCAGGGCACGCACCTCTCCCTGTCCTGTCCCCAAGCCTCCTTTCTCAGCTGGAAGGAAAGCGAAACCAGGGCTCCTACTACCTGGCCCTAGAAGCCTAGGAATTGGGAGTAGTTTCCTTCCTTGGGGCACTTACATCTCTTCTTCCCTAATCCTACATTTTAGCCACTTTCCTGCTGAATTTGAAATGTCTTTTTGTTCTTGGAGGGGGAAAAAAAGCAACAAACCTTTTTTTTTTTTTCCTAACTCTCCAAAACAGTGTGCTAACAGGAGTCTCCATCTCCAACATCAAGAGAATAGTATTGCCTGTGAATTTTATGAATGGCAAAATATTGGCTGCTACAGTGAGAAAGAATGAATAAGGGTTGTGAGGTGTGACGCTCATGCAAGTGAATGGGGGAAGGAGCAAGGTAGCCTGGAGAGGGGCGAGGGGGGCAGAAACTGGTCTGGGGAATGAAAAGTCTTTGCCAGGCTGCAGTTATATGAGCCAGGGTTCTCTCTTTTCGGTGGTCCTGACTCTACCCTTGATACACCAATAGCTGTCAACAACACAAGTGTCACTGTGCTCCTTCCACACCCAGGACAGACATCACAAATCAATCACAGAGTTTTTGCCAGCTGAGCTTGAAACTGGCTTCAGAATCCTTCTACCACCATGTTCACAGAAGTCCTTACTAGTCAGCAGGTATTGCCCCTGAGAGTCAACCCATCTGCCATCACTGCATCAGCCAGAAGTTCTGTCTTCCCTGTTGCCCCCCGTGTCCCATGACAGCCACCTTGCCTGTCAGAAAAGCCAAGCATTTCCCAGTGGCCAGGAGGACTCTACATTCAGGGATTCTTCCCAAGTAATTGAGCCAGAAACTGTCAGTTAGAAAAGAATTTTTAAAAAAATGAAAAAGATTGTTTTGTGGGGAGGAGGGTTCCATTATACAAGAAACAAACAAAAAAATGTTATGTTTGCATTATCATCAATTCCTCAGCTAACTGTTTGTTCTTTTTTCCTTCTGTTTTCTTTCTATAAAGAAATAAAGAGTTTAAACATAGGTAAGATGAAGCACTCTTTCCCATATAATTTGCTATGGTTTGTTTGTTCCTTGTGTTCAATTTCTTGTTTTGTGCTTTTTGTGTAATGTTGTATATTTTTATGTACCAAATGCAGTAACTTTTTTATGTGCTAATTGTGTGTTGTGGATATGATAAGCTTTTGAAATTATGAAATGCAGTCAAAAAGCAACCAAATAAGCTGACAGTAATTAGGATTTCTGGGAGATGCGAGAGCAAGATAACAAACCCTCGGTGAACCTCTGTCCCGGCTGCTCTGTGTGGTCCATAATTGGGCTAAACAGTGGAGGCAAACTTCGGGCTTTTGTAAATGCTGGACTGGGTTCACAAAAGCTTTAATGAACTGGAAACAGGTCAAAAACTCATTTTCAACTCATTAATGATTTTCCCCTAGATATGTGGTCATTGAAACACCCACACACACACACACACACACGCACACACACACACACACGTTAATTACCAATCTGCGGGTCAGAATAAATCCAACAGTTAGGTACATGGAGAATTGTTATAAAGTTAAATCCCCCTTGAGTAGTACAACAGGTGTAGACCAAGTGCTTTTTGTCACTGTGCTGACAAAAGATGATTTAAGAACACAACAGTAGAATTCACGCGTCGAATACACAACATGTATGTGTGTGCATGCAAGTGAGCACTGCAGAGACACGGATGCAGCATGAGTATTCTAACAGAAAAGATGTTCTTTCGTGCTGTTGGGGAGAAGAGCAATTTATTGATGGTATGAACGCTGTCTCCAGTCCATGAAACACCAGCCATGAAGCCTTTTGTGACAATGGGTCAGATGGGACAAAGAATAGAAACAGATCACCTGGTATCATCGTTCTCTAAGGAATGCGCATTTTTAGGGAAGGAAAAGAAAAGTTCCACCTTTGTAATCTTGAAAACCCCAAATTGACTGGTGATAGATACCCCAATGCAGCAAAAAAAAATTTTCAAAGAGTAGAAATGTCCCCCCAAAGACTCCCCCTTCCTGGAAACCCACAGACCAACCATGTTTGATCCTCACCGCAGCCACCAGTATGGCTTTCCATTGTTCCTGGACTGCTCTCTGAGAATCATGGCTAGAAAAAGGATGGGCTACCAGAAGAATGGTCTCCCCCAGCAACAGCTAACCCCACCTGTCGGCTCCTATGCCAGAAATCTGGAAAGGCCTCTTCAGATCAGGCTCCCTAGAAAGTCCAGAATTAATTATCTTCCTCAGACATAGGCACAGATGTGCAGGGCCTTCATCTTCCCGAGGATCATGCCAGCTACTGTTCGCTTAGTGAGAGGGTACAGCATCTAATTAAAAAATGGCATGGATTTTTCCCTTTCTGCCCTAATTTGTTTTGCATATATGGATATTCTCGAATGACTTGGCCAAGAAGTGAGAAGGGCAGAAAACAAAGGGAGAGGGAAGGGAAAGAAAAGAACCCAAAGTAGCCCACTCTCTGAAAAGACCTTGACTTCCAGTTCAATTAGCAGTCTTAATAGCAACCCGAAGAGAAGCAGGAATTAAAGATGGCCTCGACACACAAATAGTTCCTAAAAATAGCTTCTCGTCTCTTTTTTTTTTTATTAAAATCAGGCAAGAACCCAAATGATAGTGTTTTAATTAGTAATTTACCAGTTAATGTCCACAGGACAAATACACCTGACACCGACCGTCATATATTCACCTTCCACTCACCTCTTCCAGCCCCTCTCCTCCCATCGTCCCAGAATATAATTGAAAAATATCAAGACAAAAAAGGCCTGCACTCATTCTAAGTACATGGAACCCATGCCCTGGGCCAGAAAGAAGTACCTCCCCCTACCTCCAGGAGAGGAGGAATTTGAATAATCAGCATTGGAGTTGTGTGAGCACCCATCCTGGTCCCAGATACCAAGAGGAGCAGACACAAGGGGAGAGCTATAGATCTTTGAGCCGGAAGGACCATTAGCAAAGATCAGACTTGGTTTTGTCATTTCCCAAATAAGAAAGCCAATGCTCACTGTTGCCCAAAGGCTCACCTGAGGTCCCCAGCTGGGTTTGAGTCATGTGTTTCCTGTAGTCCTGAGCCAGTTCTCCAAGTCGGGCTCCATTCTGGTCAGCCTCACAAAGGACACTGAGAAGCACAGTGCAGGAAACAGGCAGGTCCCGGGGTCCCACAGTCCCCTGATCACTAGCAGCCATGGAGGCTCAGGACTTGCCTCAGTATTTAATCCAGCACCCGACAGCTGCATCGTCTCCTTTGGTAACCGAGATGCTGGACAGTGGTTTGCGCAGGATGCGGCACAAATGTTGGACACGATGGCAAGATAGCTGCACTTGGCGGTGAATAGCAGCTTCATTCGCATAGACACTAGGGGACAGTCAGCTCCAAGGCCAAGGACTGGAGATGGCTCTGGGGAACTGGTCATCACAAGCTTAGAAAACTCCAGGTTAGCCGGGCAGTGGTAGCGCACGCCTTTAATCCCAACACTCGGGAGGCAGAGGCAGGCAGATCTCTGTGAGTTCCAAGCCAGCCTGGTCTACAAGAGCTAGTTCCAGGACAGGAACCAAAAGCCACGGAGAAAATCTGTCTCGAAAATAAAAAGAAAGAAAGAAAGAAAGAAAGAAAGAAAGAAAGAAAGAAAGAAAGAAAGAAAGAAAGAAAGAAAGAGAAAACTCCAGGTTGCTCCAGCATCCATGACCTTGGAGGTCTTGTTGGAGGCATAGATGAAAAAGAGAATGTTATCTCAGAGGGATTGGGTTCCAAAATCCCATGAGATAACACGCGAAGCCAGTGGGAAATATAGGAAGCCGGCATTGGGTGACTATCCTTGCTCACTAAAACAGGACTGGAGTGGGGTCTTTTGTGCCAGTTAAATGAAGCAATAGTCTGTTAGTTCGAAGGGAATCTTCAAATCCCAAAACAGCATGAGAAACATAAGATTAATTATAAGTACCTGGGAGACATAATGTCTTGAAATGTAACTCAGGGTGTCACTAATTCACTAAAATGGAAAGACACCAGGGAAAGTAAGAGGCTCGCTAGGATTTTTGTCACCGCCGACCCAACAGGCCAGCTGCATAGTCCCTTCTTCTTTTCTCTTTGTGCTTCTCCTAAAGCAACAGCCCAGGACACAAGTACTACTTGGCTGTGGACCCTGTGACCGGCTCGCTCTACGTTTCTGACACCAACAGCCGCAGAATCTACCGAGTGAAGTCTCTAAGTGGAGCCAAAGACCTGGCTGGGAATTCAGAGGTGGTGGCAGGGACTGGTGAACAGTGTCTACCCTTTGACGAAGCCCGCTGTGGGGATGGAGGGAAAGCTGTGGATGCCACCCTGATGAGCCCTCGAGGTAAGGACCACAGAAGGAGAACCCCCTCGGCCCCACAAGGAGCCTGCTGCAAGCTGAGGGCCTCCTTGTCATCTAAAACACTCATTTTTCCTAAGAACGTTTACTGCAAGGCTCCTGGGTCTGTGTGGGTGCTTTTAAGCTAATTTATTAAAGTAAACTTTACTTCCCACATATACCCTATTTATGGAAATATAGTTGTCTGTACCTGGAGACCTCTGGCTGCAGCCAGTTACAGAGAACCAAGAGACAGTGTTAACTCCATCAGCCAGAGTGCCCGCCATAAGAGGCCACCAGGAGCTTCCACTATGCCAGACTTTGATGTTAGACAACAGTGTATCCAAAGTCTGAGGCACAGCATCATGGTGGCATGTTGTCACTACCCAAGGAAACTGTAGTAGTTAAGAATTAGCACAGAAGAGTGGCGGGGGGGGGGGGGGGGAGATGTATGTTCAATGGGAGGCTAAGCTTTTTCCTCTTAGTCAAAAGGATGCAGGCTAGATCAGTGGAAGGGTCTCAACCTTCCCAATACTGAAACCCTTTATACAGTTCCTCACGTTGTGGTGACCCCTAACCATAAAATTATTTTCATTCCTATTTCATAACTGTAATTTTGCTACTGTTATGAATCATAATATAAATATCTGTATTTTCTGATGGTCTTCAGTGACCCCTGTGAAAGGTCACGACCCATAGGTTGAGAAGCACTGCTGTAGCTAGACACATGCCCTTGTCTTCTTCCTTAAATTAATCCAGTTGGCCTAGCTGACCTCCTAGCCAAGGGATTCTCCCTCAAGAAGATAGATTCACCGTAAGCCACACTAAAGGGGACAGGAGGAATAAATTAACCCTTTAATGAGATAGTGTACTTCTCTTTCCCAGAATTCCTAGCTCCTGGTACAGTCTCTACAAGCCGCCATAAGGTTCTGTTGAGTCTGCCTGCCTGTTTGAGTTCTTACTCAGAAAGATGTAACTTCTCCTTTTTCTTCAGAAGCTGGCCTGAACCTAAGTGGCCATTTGATACTTTGGGCCTTCTCCCTTTTCCTCTAAACCCCCTTCCCTGCCTATGCCTGCTTATCTACTATATGGCTGACCCCCATGCTGACTTAACTTAAATAGCCTGGCTTCCTCTTATTCTTCCCCATCTTCCTCCTCCAGGCAACTGCCGAGATTCACAACTTGCCTGCCTTGGGTATTTTTCTTTTAAACTCTAATTAAATTGTCCTTGAGCTTCAGAGATTAAAAGAAAAAAAGAAGAATTTGGAGAGAGCTGGATAGATGTCTCACTTAGTAAAGTGTTTGTGGCATAAACATGCCATGTGGCATTTACGTTAAAAAAAAATCAGGTGCAGTGGTACACACCTGTAATCCCTACTCTAGAGAAGTATAGAGACAGGGGGAATCCCTAATTACATCAGATTGGGAGGCTCCAGGTTCCGTGAGAGACCCTATCTCAAAAAATAAAGCAGACAGCACCCAATATCGGCCTCTGGCCTCCAGATGTACAAACATGTATTGCACGTGCATGTGTACACACACACACACACCACAAATTAAATAAATAATCAAATAAGAAAGGGTAAATATCATTTCCATGATTCCTGTCCTGGGGAGTTCTTGGAATCGATAAAGCGTCTATTTGAAAGGACTAAAGATGCTCGGGGTTAAAGAGCAATCATATCAGGGTCTAACTCTTGTTAGCATTTTTAGCAACTGCGCGAGCAGCCTGCAGCGTGGATTAAGGATGCCAAGCCTTGTACTTGGGCACTGAAATGAAAAAGCGAAAGAAATAGAAGCTGCAGTCTGGGTCTTATCAGTCCTGCTGTGACAGGGAAATGCTGGGGCTCTGTGTCCCCTGGGGGCACTGGAGTGCTGATTGGAGTCAAGGCTTAATTGGGAATTCTTCCTGGAGGATATATTTTGGATTGGGAGTTTGTGGCTGAAAGCATCGGTGTTTCTCAGCCTTATTCTCACAATTAGTTGTGAAGGGTATTTGAGTAATAGACTACCAGTCTTTTTTTTAGAGCAATGGACTTTGATAATAATTTGTTTTCTGGAGAGAACAGAGCTGGGGCTGTTTCCACCTTCACTTGCAACCCTGGTTTCTCTGCAGTTCAAGATGATGTCATTGGTTGGGGGGGTGGATACACCTAGCACCCTGGGAATGGTGCAAGTCACAGCACAGAGCCCTTGAGAAATGTTTGCCTTGAAAGCACTGAGAGTTGCTGCTCTGAAGGATGCTACCCCATCCCAGTAAGGTCCCTAGTCCAAACACATCACGCCCAGAATAGGATTTCCTCCATCTCCTCCACAAACCACCTTTCTGTCAAAACACAAAACAACAACAAACAAAGAAACAAAAATCCCATCCCAATGCTTACCTCCCCAGGCATTGCCGTGGATAAGAACGGGCTCATGTACTTCGTTGATGCCACCATGATCCGGAAGGTCGACCAAAATGGAATAATCTCCACCCTGCTGGGGTCCAATGACCTCACAGCTGTCCGGCCACTGAGCTGTGACTCCAGCATGGATGTGGCTCAGGTGCGACTCTTTATTTCTCATCCTTAACCAGCTCCTAGGTCTTAGCCCGTGGTTCTCACATGTTCCTATGTGAGTTGGGAGTATGAGCTGTGCACACTGATCATAGCTTAGAGAGAAATCAAGTGAACTGGACATCAAGATGGAAAAAACTGTAGGATGGGAATGAGAGAGAAGAGAGAGGGGCAGTAAAAGGGAAGTAGACTTGGGCCGGGGGAGAGAGCGAGAGAACAGAGAGGGTGATGCTTCTCTGAGAAGCGGAGCTGGTGGCACACTCCAGCAGTGGCAGATTATAGGGTAGGGGCTGCTGTGTAATTATCTCTCGTCTCCACCATTTTCAAAGATTTGAGACTGTACGGTTTCGCGCTACATGTCAATCAGGGTTTCCCTGTCGATCTGGAGCAATTGCATCGTCACCATATAAACCTCCACTTTGTGTAGCAGTTACTAGAGCAAAGCCCTCCTCAGTCATCCTCCCAAGTGTGTGGTTCATCAGGCCTCTTTTCGTGGCGGAGACCCCAGGCCCCTCAAATGTGCAGCATTTGTTCAAAAAAAGCCGATGTGTGTGTTCACCCTGCCTGTGAGAGTCTTTTCAACCCTTGGTCAACCTCATAAATTTCAGCTCAAATTCCCCCACCAAACTGACAACTTGCCACTGAGATTTTGATTTCAAATTCCACAGAGGAAGAATGTATTTGACTTGGCTCTGTTCACTCCTTTTTTCAAACACTCGAGTTGTAGTTTTGTTGGCCAGCCTGTTCTTTGTCTGCTCTTGGGCTGGGGCCACCTCCCGAGCCACATGGCTGCTTTTTGCAATTTAGACAAATGTGTCTTCTCCAAATGAACACAGCCTTCTCTGACCCGTGGCTTGGGGAGCTGAGCACGGGCTAAATTGCCTTGGTCCCTTATGCATTTATCTACCTGTACCACTGCATTTAATGGCTGCAGTGCTGGCGAGTCGTCTGAAGCCGAACAACACTGGAGCCAGCAGGACTCGAGTCAGGACAGAAGACATCGAAGGAAGAGTTTGTCACATGCTCCCTTCTCTGTCATAAAACAGCCAGCTCAGGCAAATAGTTCAATGCTAAGTGGGCCACAGTAAGTGTGCTACTTTAATGCTAAGTTGGTGCCAGGGAGCTGTTCAGCAGCTAAAGGCACTTGTTGCTCTTGCAGAAGACTTGGGTTTGAAACCCAGCACCCAAGCACTGGCTCACAATCATCCATAAATCCAATTCCAGGGGATCCAATATCCTTGCCCTCTTCTGATCAGGCACACACATGGTGCCAACATAAGTTCAGGGAAAGAATTAACATATATAGAATAAAATAAATATTTTTTAAAGCTAAATCTTTTCTCCAAATGCATGTATGCAATATATTAAAGGCTCTTCTTGAAATGTCGCATCATACGCAGGTTCGTCTGGAGTGGCCGACAGACCTTGCCGTCAACCCCATGGACAATTCCCTATACGTCCTAGAGAACAACGTCATCCTGCGAATCACCGAGAATCACCAGGTCAGCATCATTGCGGGACGGCCTATGCACTGCCAGGTTCCGGGCATTGACTACTCGCTCAGTAAGCTTGCCATCCACTCTGCTCTGGAGTCAGCCAGTGCCATCGCCATTTCGCACACTGGGGTGCTCTACATCACCGAGACGGACGAGAAAAAGATCAACCGCCTACGCCAGGTCACCACCAATGGGGAGATCTGCCTCTTAGCCGGCGCAGCCTCTGACTGCGACTGCAAAAATGACGTCAACTGCATCTGCTACTCGGGAGATGATGCTTACGCCACAGACGCCATCTTGAACTCCCCATCCTCCTTAGCTGTGGCTCCCGACGGCACCATCTACATCGCGGACCTTGGGAATATTCGGATTAGGGCGGTCAGCAAAAATAAACCTGTTCTTAATGCATTCAACCAGTACGAGGCCGCATCGCCGGGAGAGCAGGAACTGTACGTGTTCAACGCCGACGGTATCCATCAGTACACTGTGAGCCTGGTGACGGGGGAGTACTTGTACAATTTCACATACAGCGCTGACAATGACGTCACTGAGTTGATTGACAACAACGGAAATTCCCTAAAGATCCGCAGGGACAGCAGCGGCATGCCCCGCCACTTGCTCATGCCGGATAACCAGATCATCACCCTTACCGTGGGCACCAATGGAGGCCTCAAAGCGGTGTCAACACAGAACCTGGAGCTTGGCCTCATGACCTATGATGGGAACACCGGACTCCTAGCCACCAAGAGCGATGAAACGGGCTGGACGACTTTCTATGAGTAAGTAGGCTCTGGACCAATTTCTCTAGAGCCCGCCCCCTGCTCTAGCTGGCACCCGGATGGACCATTCACGTTGCTTTTAAAATTGCCTAGTCACGTCTTCCTAACTTCAATAATTTCTCACCGCCTCAGGATATTCGTGTCCCTTCTCCTGGCTCCTAAATGATTTGCTCTCTCGGGCCTCTGATATTGAGCATCCTCCCCGCTAGCATTGGGAATTCCTGTTGTCTGCCTGCCGTTCAAACTTCAGGATATTGGACACGCACAGCACCTGGGAGATAAAGTGCTGATTAACCCCACTGATTATTCATGTTTGCCATGGGTGCGGAAATTAGAAAGCAGGAGGCAGGGTCCCAGCGGGGCTCCTGTGATTTAACAATAGGTCCAGCACCACTCTTGATTGTACAGACAGGGAGATAAACTCTGAATTTCCTCCTTAGCAGAAGCAGATCAATACAGATAAAGTGCTAGGTATATTAAAAGATGTGAGGGCTGGTCATATTTCCCCAAACAATTAGCTCATACTTAATAGTTCTACCGTTTGTTTTTGCCAAAAAGCTGTTTTCCCTAGGTCCTGGAGCAACTCTGGTCAAGCAAGCCTGCTGCCCCAGGTATTACCCTAAGAGTTGCTGGCTAGAGGCGGCTGCTAAGCCTGAGTCCCAGTGACCTGCTGGGGACCGAATGGAGTTTACCAGCCTCCGGGCTCTCTCCACAGCAGTGAGCCGAGCATTACGCCTTAGGAGCTCTGGCTTGCTTTCTATCTCTGAGTCGCTGTTAGCTGAGAATTTATTAAGTTAGGGAGGAAAGCCACAGAGAGATAGGAGTAGGAGGGACAAGAGAAAGAAGACTTCATTGTTGATCACGTTTAAATCAACAATGTTCGCTCCCTGTTTGTATGCCAGTGGGTTCGGGAGAATTCAAAGGAAGCTGTCGCCATCTGCTGGAGACTTCTTGCATTACAGAATGGCTTGCAGAGTCCTGACTTCTTTGGGCAAAGCATTCTGTCCCGGGACTTCTGAGCAGAGTCACAACCTTCAAGGTGCTAGGACTTGATCACACTTCACCAGAAAATGCACTTAGTAGCTGTTAAGTCTTCTAAATGAGAGGCAAAGGCTGGGGTCAAGAAGGCTCTCCTGAATTAGTCCTAGGTTGGAATCCAGTCCAAAGTTCAGGTATCAGGGCCCCGCAGACATGAACTCTTGATTGGAGGCAGTTTGCTAGCAAAGGTCCCCAACTGAATGAAAACATACACATAAGGCTCAATTTTTTTAAAGTATTTGTGCAGGAGTTACAGTAAAACTGAATCACGTTTTCTCTTTTAATCTGCTTCAAAATGTGAATAGATCCAAGGATCCAAATCCCCGCTTGTGGAGACACGTAGAGAAGGTTTCCTTAGGCTTCCAAAAAAGGGGGGGGGCTAGCTTTTGTTACACTTGGTCAGAAGGTGTTGCTTTAAAACTCAGACACAAGTCACACTTTCTGTCAGGGATATCAGGTCCAGGTGAACACCACACAAGTAATTGCAGAAGTCTAGAGAGACAGTTGGATTAACAGAAAAGAAACAGAGAGGGGAGGGAGGAGAGAGAGAGAGAGAGAGAGAGAGAGAGAGAGAGAGAGAGAGAGAGAG